ATGGTGTGCCGTAGGTCAGTGCAGTGGCGGTAGGGTTGGACAAAAAAGGTGGTGGTTGAAATGGTTGTGGTTGTGGGTGAGGGTATGCCGATGGTTGTGTCGGGGGAAAAGTGGGTGCAGTTGATGGTTGTGGCATCGGCCATGTGGGTTGAGGTTGTGTGGTAGGTAATGGTGGTGGCGTGGTGTGAGCGTAGGGCCACGGAAAATGCATGTCGTGGTCGTAGCTATGGCGCGGCGCGGCGCGGCAGCAAAAAGCAGCGGGGAAGTGCCGAGTTGTATTGTCTTGTTGTTGTTGAAGGTTTCATCTCTGGTGTCGATGGTGAGTATGTTGTAAGGTGGTGCTAGATGTGAGCTTGTTGGTAGGTGTGTGTTCATGCATCTCGAATTAAGCTGAAGAGCTGTAATGCCCATCCTTGAGTTCTGTCGATGAAAGAATCGCGGCATCAACATAGCAAACATGGAAACACGCACATGATTGGAAGACATGAAAAGAAATCTGAATGCTGAAATCTGAAAGCTGGAATCCGAAGTATTCTTCAAGAACCGTTTTTTGGCCCGGCGGCCGATGTGGCAGTTGATTCTGTGAGGGTGTCGGTGCCTTCCTGTGAGAGTCCAGTGAGCGGTGGTGCGTTGGGGTGGTTGCTTTCCCATGCAAGATCGGCGCCCCTGTGACGGGGATCACACTCAGCACCCGAGTGGGACGGCTGAGCGGGACACACTTCGACAATTTGTATTCAGTTAGCTCAATTTCTCCGATGGGAAGGATGGCGAAGAACCGCAAGGTGGAAAAGTCAGCTGAAACAGTATGGTTCACCTTGGTTTCCAATCGCACTCGAAAGACGCGGCTGCAAAGCTGTGCAAGTCTGCGGTCGGCTGCTGAAAGAAACCTGTTTGTGGGAGAGCATCGTGAAGAAGAACCATGGAACCAACGAACAGCGGCAGGGTGGACCAGTGGAGTCAGTGTGTTGAAAGCAGGTACGTCAGTTCCGCGTCCGGAACTGATATCAGTACCGCCACAGAAGCCTCTTCGTTGGACTGTCACTTCTGTGGGGTAGACAGTCCCCCTGCCCATGTAAAGTGGAAAGAGTGGTGGTGGAAGACCCTTTGTCCAGGGTTGGACACACACACACACACACACACGGTCAACACTCGATCTCCAAGGAACGCGCGATGATACCCCGCTTCCACCGCCCGGACATACTCTTGCACCTTCTGCATCCGGGCCTAGGCCGGAGCGGCTTAGGCGAAGCGGCCTTCGGCCGTGCGAAGCCCCAAACGGCTATAGACGGCTGGTGCTTCGGTGAGCAGAACGACTTGAAGGGACAACTGAACCCTTCAAGTCCTGAAGGTTGTGTGAACCCAGAACTGAGATGATCATGACCTGCTGGCAGATTCAATGTTTGAGACCGGGTGTTTACGCAGTGTAGAAGAACAAATCCTGTGACTATAAGGGGTAGTTCTACAAAAACTTGTCAAACAAATGGACACTCGTGACATGGGGGAAGCAGCGATGTAGGCCTGGCAGCCTTGTTTCCCCAGCCATCCACAATCCTTTTGTCCTCGGCCCAAAGAGCTGGGCAGCGGCGGTGCAAACCGCGGTTTGCACCCTTCTCCGGGTTGGCCATCGACACTCAAGAAAACGGACAAAACTACTGTACAGCACTTTCAATGCATTGCATGTACAATTGAACCAAATATCAATCTGAATTCTCACCACATCGGTGAGAAATTAGTGAGCTGAAACATGATCCTTTTAAAAGAACTTCACAACGTACAACGCATCAAAAGTCTCGTCCAGATTCATCATTCTTGCCATTCAAGTCCCATGGCGCTTTTTGAAACAAGTGGATCCGTCAAGCAAGGCGACTCGCCGTGATTGGCGGACATCCCGTGTCTGCCATGGAAGTGGATGGCATGGTCCCCTACAAAATGACCCTTGTAACGAGGGGGTGCCACCCACAGAACAAATGGCAAGCTCAACACTTCCATGTCAGTGAGGGACTGCAGGCTGGAGGACCTCGTGACGCCTTCAAGAGTTGCTGGGTCGCCTTCGTCTCCATCGCCTCGAGACTTCTCCGCACGCTTTGAAGCGGAGGACGTGATCCGCGTCTGCTCTCGCTCGCGCGCTCGACGAAGGACGTGATCACGGAGCTGTGAGTGAGAACGTCCGGCTGGACTTCTGAGATCGACATTTGATGGAATAAGCCAAGCACATGCGGCCAAGCACGCATCACCTGAACATGATCACCGAATCGATTCTTTTCAAAGCTAGCACATCAGTACTGAAATTGGTCACTGCCTCTGACCCAATGGGTATCGTCCATAGTCGATGAGGATCACCTTTTTGGGCAAAGTCATTTATACCTGGACCATCCAAGGGGTGCCCAATGGAAGCCTATAGGTAGTGTGGGGTAATTATACAGTCCATTGGACACCCTTGGATGGTCCTGGTAAATCACCAGGCTTAGGAATTGAGCCCTTCGAGTCTTAAGGGAGGTCTAAGAGTCTAACACAATTTCATTGACCCCTGGTCAACCACCCCAATGTAGGCATACTTGTAGGCATATATGCCAATGCCATGGAGTGTCTGGGTAATAACATGGCATAACCCTCCAGGGGGAATGCCTTGAAGGAATCCTGTCAGGTGTTTCTTGAAGGAATCGAGCACCTTCTGTCTGTGATGTGGGTGTGGAGTCGAGCACCGGCTCCAGTTCAGTTGCGCCCTGTCACTTGGAAACTCCGATCCAGTCCCTTTCCAATCATGTCTCGGTGGACTCCTCGAGATCGATCCTCTTCGAGTTGATTGACCCGCCGGACTTTCTCACTGCCCCCAGCGGTTGACCCACAGGGTGGAAACTTCTGTCAAAAGTGCTTGAGTGAATATCTCAGCATGTAGGCAATTAGAGTGAAGGGCTGATTTATCCAAGGTTAACTCCAAGACCCCCTATATACATTTTAGGTCAATATACATATACAAATATGATACAGTAATATTATGGAATATTATCTGTTATTGAAACAGCTGGGCTTGGGTTGGCACACTAACTAAGAACATTTGCCAACAAACACAACTCCTTGAACTTGGCCATTTCTACACTGCCGAGTGGCGCTTTCGCAGGACGCAATAGCTGCGTTGTAGCTGATGAGATCGGGTCCCGTTGAATCTTGGTCCAAGGTGTCCAAGATCTGCAAGGCATGATGCCAGCCGTGCCCCTTCTCACCTATCAAGCGTCGATGAACTTTGGACAAAATGAGCTGCGCACCATTCGTGTGAAAAAGACTTCCCCTCTGCCCAGCCCTGTGATGTCCCCCTTTTTGCTTTAGGTGTCCTCATTCCAAGCAAGGGTCACTTCAGGGGTCGGACAAACTCGATACCAAGGACCAAACAAACACCATGAAAGTAACCCATCCCCAACACTCTCCAAAGTACCCCAGAAAAATGGGACATGACATGACATGACCTTCTAGAACTGGCACCAGCAGTTCCAACGAATTGCCGAACGAACGGAGGCTAGGGGTGCCCCTGTCACATCCACTCACTGGATGGGACTTGGAACTGCTGGTGCTTGTACTCATTTCTGGAGGTACAAACAGCTTGACTCCAGGTACAAACAGCTTGACTCCAGGTACTACTCCATGGGACAAAACCGCCGCAAAAACATGGACGAAAACGACCCATGACTGGACTCCAGGCGCAATTCTTCCATCACAAAAACACGATGGATGGACGATGGGTCAAGACTAGAGAGTTACCGTACCCATTTACACCATGTATGATCCTAATATATGCAAGTAACTCTTCCAGTCCCATGAATGGCTGGGATCAGTCTCTCTCTGCCACAGTCTGTCTGCAGACTCTCTCACCCTTACGTTGACTTGGTCCAACTGCATCAATCAAGTCGATCCTAGCTACCACCCATGAGAAAGCAAAACATCAAACATCATCAAACTGCGTGCTCCCTCCAAACTGGCCTGGATCCTCCCAAAACGAAAAAGAAAACATGTTGAATGCCACTGCCACGTCACAGGAACTCAGCGCCACATTCCAACAAACCCTGGAGATGTCCACTCGGTGCTCGAACACCAAGGCGTCCAACAACTGCCCGGCCAAGGACCATTCTCCACGCCGCACCGTGGCGCTCAGTGCTGCACCCGCCGTGACGGTCGTCACGAGTCCCGCGGTCTGCAGCAGTCGGAGGGCCAAGCACCAGTGACCTGTCCTAGACCATCGGACACACCGGAACGACCATGGGGTGAAATGGGTGGGGGCGTTCGTCGATGTTTGTTGATCAATCCGAATCCGAATCCGAACGGGCTCTCCATGGGTGAATGCAGGTTTTGCAACTATGCCAGTCCCATGGAGTCTGTATGCGTCCCATGGAGTCTGGATGCCAGTCCCACGGGGTGTCTGGGAATCATTTAGGCTTTCAACGTCCACGGCCACCAGCGGTGTCAACCGGCGAACCGGCGCACCACCTACGATCGGAAAGCCGTGAACCACACGGCCAAAGGAGGTATGTCCATGCAACCAAATGTGAGCCAAACAAAAGGATATAATGATATAACTACAAGTAAAACATGGAGGAACACACTGCTTTGCTGTTGTTATCTGTTGTTGCTGTTGTTGTTCCTTGTTGTGCTGTCTTTCTGGTGGTGCTGCTGCTGGTAGTTCTTGCTGCTCTCATGTTTCGTTCTTGCAGACCTTGCTCCTGCCCCTGCTGCTGCCACTTGCATCTTGGTAAGACATCTAAAAAAGCTGCATACCTTGTGTGCCTAATCCCTACCCAACTGGAAAATACTCATGAATCAAACTTGAAAAAGAGCTGATTGCCATGGCCGCGTGTCAGTTCGCAAGTGCTGATGACCGCGTTGTAGCTGATCACATCTGGTTGAAGGGATTTCTCAGTAATCATGGTGAAAAGGCCCAGAGCCATCTGCCAGTGCCCGCCCTTCTCACAGGAACTGATGGCTGAGTTGTAAATGAATTCATTCCGACGCACACGTGTCTGGGACATAGCAGAAAGAAAGCTCAAGGCCAATTGCCATTGCCCAGCCTTCTCACATGCATTGATGACCGCACCAAAGGTTATGACATTGGGTTGGAGCTTCTTCACGGCCAAGATTTGAAACAAGCGGAGTGCTGCTTCCAATTGGTTGGCACCTGCGCAAGCACTCATAGTGGCACTAAAGCTGATGATATTTGGATGTATTCTTATCCGGGGCATAGCTTCAAGCAAACTCAAGGCACATTGCCATTGCCCGGCCTTCTCACAAGAACTGATGGCTGCACTGAAGCTTACAACATCCTTCTCTATGCTTCTCAAATGCATCTTCTCCAATAGAACCAACGTTTCACGCCAGTGCCCCTGTTCGCAGGAGCTGATTGCTGCATTGAAAGTGACGGTGTTTGCTTGGATCGTCTGGAGGCCCATGCTGTCCAACATGGTCAGTGAAAGCTGCCACTGGTTGCCTTTCTCTAATGAACTCATCGCTGCGCTACAGCTAAATACATTGGGCAGAACACTTGCAAATCTCATGGTGACAAGCACTTCGAGCGTTGACTGCCAGGTATGACCCATCTCGGATGAAATGGCACTGCTGAAGCTGATGACATCCAGCTGATGACCCCTCTCACTTGACATCTCTTGAAAAAACCGCGCCAACGGCGGTCTGCCAACGGTTTCTGCAGGCGCTCAACATGGCATTGAAACCTGTCTTGGCCAATGGGTGGATCGAAGACAAGCGTTGACATGTCCTTTTCAAAAATATGTGTTTCAAAGCTGGGGAGAAACATACCCTAGTGGCGTGGACGAAAGGAGACTATATACAACCTTGGCAGGTCTTCGCACGTCACTAACTCATCTAAGCCACTGATGGTGTTTGGCTCAAGGCTTTTGCTTGGCATCTCTTGGAAGAAGCGACAGGCCTCTTGCCAACGATTCGAGCGGCCATAGGAGGTGATTTGCACCGTGCAGGCGGACATGACCTCACTGCGGCCAGCTCGGGGGGGCGACCGAGAGAAGCCGGAGGATCTGGGAGATACCGTACCCCTGATTGTACACATATACTTCTGTAGCGGCATGATCCTTTTTCAGTCGAATCGTGGGTTGCATTTGCCCTTCGAGCACATAATATCTTAATTACTTGAGGACCTCAGCATAGTGGGACATCGACATTGAAGCAGCATGAAGCACCTTCATTGTTTGAGGCGAATGTCGAAGGGAGACAACCCAACCAGCTGGTCTTGGTGTGCTTTTCCACCGCAGGTCACTTTTGACTCGAAGGCTGGTTTTTGCTGAAGGACATCTCTGATAGTCCCCACAAAAACTAACCAAAGCTATCTGTTCCTTCTGAAAAGGAAGTCCAAACAACATCGAACAAAGGACAATGAACAAAGAAAAAAACACTCCTGAGCAGTCTCATGACATCTCCTTGAACTTCTTTTCGCCCATGCTCCATTGGGCTCCTGGCAGCCCTGCCTGGCGTTTCGGGGTCAAATGTTGCTGTCTCCCTTAAAGCTTGGCTTAGCAACGACAAGTACAGTATTTTGTGGATCACATATCCTATTACATCCTATTATACTAGGTGAAAAGTGGATGTTGGGGCCTCGGTTGCAGGCCGACAGTTCCCAAAAAGAGTGATGTTCTTGTGAAACCGCGAGCGACTCAGGAGCAGCAGTGTCGCAGTGGTCCCAAGGTCGGATCGGGCTTCTGAAGGCGAAGGCTACCCCCCCCAAGGGGTGGTCCATAGGACCACCTCTTCGGACTCTCTTCGTTCCATTCGTTGAGCACACCGCACCCATTCGTTCACTGGGTGGATCTGGAGCTTGCACTGTATTTGTGGCCCGGCCCGGATTTTGGCCGGTCAAAGGTGTCATGCTCTTTAGACGGAAAAAACTGGTGCCCCTCAATCTACTCTTTGGCCTTAAACCGCCTCCACATCCGGAGATAGAAGACCTGGTCTTCCCAGCTTTTTGGGACTTGGGAATTTCCAAATCACAGGTTTCAATACAAATTTCAGACATCATAACCCACGTCCACGTGGTGGTGTGTTGTTTGGTCGTTGGTGCACTCAGATCCGATAGGCAGCACATAATATATGCTTACAAGGCCTCTCAAAACCCGTTTCTTCAAGCCACGCTCGGCTTGCGATTGTTGGCAAAACCCCACGGAAACCACTTGCACCACTGGACGCACCTGCTTCGCCAATCTGTTGTCATCACATTTCGCGGTCCCCGCAGCTCAGCGCAGCCGCTGCGCGCCATGAGACTCGAACCCCAAATGCTCTGCCAAGGCGAGAAATGCCGGAAAATTATGGAAAATTGACCCAAAAACACCCGGCGACCGACCGCTCCATAAACCCATAGCATTCACGCGCGAAACACTTGGTGAACTTCACTCCACAGAAGTCGAAGCTCATGGAAGTAGAACAAGGAACCCAGGGCCGATTCGGCAGTCGTCTGAAGGCTGCTTCGAGGGAAATCCGTGAGTGGTCGACAAGTCTTTCGTCTATGCACAGCCATTCCCGTGACACAGCAAGCGTTGAGAGCAAGTGGAGCGTGAATTGATTCAGTCCCAGCCTCCCACGCCACTCCCGCGTGAATCTTCCAGTTCATCGGTCTGCCGAACCGGCATGGGGTTAGAGTACAGGGTGAAGATGTATGGACATGTGTGGATGCTTGCCAAATGTTGTTGCCGATGTTGACTTGCTCTTTGATGCCCTTGGACCCAAACCTAACTCGTCGCCCTCGACGCGCAGGGGTAGTACGCTTGTTGCAGCCCAGCAGCCTTGACCAATAAGCTCATTTTTTGTGATTGCCAAATCGTCATAAAAATCTGAAATAATGGCCTCAGAGTCGGGCTTTTCTGCGAACACTCAGACTGAACTTGGGAAATCTCTCCAACCTACCTCTTTCGCTCTCTCTCTGTGCGGTATGTATGCACGTGGACCTACCTCTTTCGCTCTCTCTGTGCAGTATGTATGCACGTGTATGTAAGTGTTCACAAGAACAGGCATCCCTCCCTGTGAGTAGGGAAAATCTGCCCGTCTCCACCTGGCCACTTTCTGAGTGGAAAGAAGGTACGACGGGGCCAGCCGTCACGTCGTGTCACAGTATGTGGGACATCCTCATCCCCAATCACAACACACACTCCGTGGTCGTTTTGTGGTCGTTTTCAGTTATATAGATTTGCCATCCAGGCCTGAACTCATCATGGCCGGCGGCCCCTGACCCACGTGGAATGAATGAACACCAATTCCCATGAGTTCTCTATCATAGTAACATGAAAGATCTGGAACATATATAGGATGTGGAAAGAACCGGACCTGTTGTTTCTCCCGCCAAGCGTGTTTTACACCCTTTTTGGCGTCGATTTTCGGAACAACACAAACACACACAAACGGTTGCTATTCAATCCGGTGTGCACTCCTCTGTATGCCATATTGGTCGATCAGGGCAGGGGTGGTTTGGGGGGGTCGATGTAGCTTGGATTTGCTGAAACATATACCAAATAATCACCAGAAGGGGACTTAACCAAAGGGAAAAAAAAAACGTCACCTTAAAGCAAACCCAGGGTAGGCAGGGCACAGATTCCAATCCCTAACACGGCATGAAGATGCCAACCCCATCCCCATCCCCAGCGGCTCGTGAGACTTCTGGTCCAGATCCAGGACCTGAATTCACAGCTCGTCGAAGTCAAATGAGCCAAAGGCCTTCAACCCGCTACCACCGAGTAACAAAAGAAACACCGAACATGACTGGACTGGGTGGTGGTTGCCACTCTGTTGAACATATTAGTCAGTGGATTCACTCATCCCAAGTAAAGGTTGAAAAGCATATCTGAAACCAACCTAGTGGATAGTTGTAACATGTTAAACAGCAATCCCCGGTCACCCCTCCATGGCTAGGCTTTCAGCTGCTGTTTCTACAGGCTGTCCAACACAGATTTGCTTTCAGCTGCCACTGCTTGTCCTCAACAAAGGAATGTAGCCGTCCCTCCAGAACTGTGCCTGTCTGACTCCATCAGGCAGTCCTTGAAATACAAGGTCCTTCTGTTCATATGTAGGGCTCTAATACAGCATGCAGTCTAATACAGCTCTACTCCCCACTCTAGTAGCTGCATATACTGTATACAGTGGGGAAACAAATCACCAAAACATGTATTTAAGGGTTATCCACTTTTCCTGGGTGGGTGCCTGTCCCGAGAACGCCCAGCCAGTTGTTGACGGGTGCCGAGCTCCAAAGGTCCCTGTGGTCTAGGACCATGGTCCAAGGCTAGGACCGGCTAGGAAAACTGTTTGACGATGGTTGACAATGGTGCATCTGTTACTGCAGATTCCTCAACAACAGTAGCCAAACACTGCATGGAATAGTTACCTACATGGATTCCGTCAATTGAACATGGGGGGTAAATGTATGGCCTCCATCCATGGATGGTCCCAGGTCCCAGACTGGTTGTATCTGGAATTCTGCAAGGTCTCTCCACGTCCCTCACCGAAGCCCGAAGCAAAATCTATGCTCAGTTACGCTCAGTTAGCTGTTTCGACACCCACTGGGAAGCATCAGCACCCTAGGCCCTTGATGGCCCTTGCAAAAACCATTGTATACCTTGGATTTGCTATCCAGGAACCTCGAAACATATTTACCACAAGGGGATTTAACATGACAATAGTTTTTTTTACATGATTTTATAGGAAAATCAACACAGGTGGCCCAAAAGAAGGCCTTTACACCTCTTCGGTTGAATGAAGGGTCGCTCGGTGAACACATCAACGTCGCAAGCACTGCCCAAACATCGGAACATCCTCAGCGCCGCACATCAACGCCATCCCAAACCTAGCGTCAAAGCAAGATCTTCTCATGGGATCACCACATCTCAACCGGGAAAAAGTAAACAGACCTAGCACTTCCAATGGGTGCCCAATGGAGACCTGCAAGTAGGGCAGGGTAGTCTATTGGACACCCATTGGATGCTCCTGGGACCTAATTCTTGAAGGCCACATTCTCCTAATTCTTTAAGGATTCTGGGGTGGAACGGCCAAGGCCAAGGTGGAAAGGCCAAGGTGGAGGATTTAAACACCAGAAAGGCCTCAAAACGTGAACGACCATCCAGGCGGGGGGAGCTTGATTCCTCAACTCCAGACCCAATGATCGTACCTGTAACCCTTCCAGTCCCCCTGGACTGGTCTACAAACAACAAAGGTTTCAAAGGTTTTCTCTCATGAGGACCCGTGGGTTCCATCCACCAAACAGAATCCGAACCCCTCCACTTAGAGTTGGTAGATGTTTCATCCGCCACAGGATGGTGCGATTCCTGTAAACTCCCAGGAAGGATCCGCCAGGGTTTTCAGGATCCGGTGCCGGATCCGCCGCTAGCGATGAGTGAAGGAGGGAGCGGTGAAAAAACCGGCACCTGTCGGTTCAACGGAGAACGCCACCAGGAGGAGATGGAGAAAATCCAGGACATCCTGATGTTCATGCATTTTGGTTGGTTGGTTTTAAGCATGCTCACCAAATGCGAGAGTGTGCTCTCCACAAAGCAACACTGTTGCATTTTAAAGCATGCCACCAAGAAACCCATACCCCCAAAATGGAGAAATTACTCATTCTGATCATTGTTCTGTCAAACACTAGATTAATGCA